CAGATCTGAGCTGGTTGGTAACGTACACATTTAAGGACGACTGAAGATATTTTAATTATAATGAATTTGAGCTTCAGGACGGTTCAGAAAAACTGTGTAAAAAATCAGTGTAATGTAAATCTAAAATAAGCTGCACTGACCTTGGACGGTACCGTCATGGCGAAGCTTTGTTCACAGGTCACTTGGAACTAGTCAGCATGCTGATGTGTGTTCATGGGGACCTGAGGTGTGACAAAGAGGGTGATCAGAATCAGAAGAACTTTATTAATTCCCGTAGGGAAATTCAATTGTCACAGAGCTCCTGAGAAAGAGGTGGAAGAGCAAAAGCAGGTATAAACATAGTAATATAAATATCAAGTAAGACTAAAATGAAATAAAAGATATACATATGTAGAAATGAAAACCGGGTATGTATAGATTTATTGCCAGATGAGCCTCAGTTCATTTTCATTTGTGAGTATCAGATTATCATGTGATCAGCAGTACAGCACACTATTCATGAAATATAGGAAATAGGTTGAAACGATAACTTGTAGAGACATACCTCCTTCAAGCCGGATCCTCACATATTGCAACCATGTGCTCAGTTTCTGCAAACCTGTTACAGTTCCACCTGCTCACAGACTTAAGCATTCTCTGATGTTTAATTCCTAAAGGTCTCAACATTATACATTGAACCCCCCCCCCCATAAATTGTCAAAAACATAATGTTGCAAGAAACTGAAAAAAGCATCCTCCATCCGCCCTCAAGTTATAATAATATCTTTATTTATATCGCACTTTTAAAAAAAGACATGCATAAGACAAATAAAAATACTTTTAAAAGAATAAAGAAACTAACATTTAAGCAAGACAACCCAGTCCAACATATATAAATGAACAGAACTAGCATAATGAAAGAAATCAGAGAATGCTTAAGCTTTGATTTAAAGGAAGTTACTGAGTAAATTGGTTCAGTGGTTTTTGTGTAATCCTGCAAACAGACAACCAAAAAGCAACATAACCTCTTAAAATAATGAAATATAACACTGCATATATGAAAATGAGGATTTATGTGGGGAAAATAAAAGTGACAGATATAGTATAGCACATTGGGTCTGTAGCAGCACTGGACTCATGGATGACATTTATGTAAGTAGGGCAGGAAACAGAGCAAACAAGCACGAAATGCAAATATGCATTGTGGAATATTTCAAAAAATGAGATGAGAAGCCTGGAGGTAAAAACTGTCCTTACGTCTGCTTGTTCTTGTATCGTCTGTCAGACGGCCACAAGGAGGAGGATCCGTGTGCTGGTTGCCTGTTATCATTGATGAAGATGTGCAATTCTCAGGCACCACAGATGGAAGGTGGGAGATCAGATGTGTTAACGTGTGACCTGTCACTGTATGATGAGGTTAAAGGGAAACACGTAGGAAACATAGACAGTGTTAACATCAAATACTTCATTTTCATGGTAAGATATTATTATATATATATATTATCTCAAATACTGGGACATCTGAGTCCATCCTGTAAATGTAGGATAACAAGGCAGCGTGTGTGTGTGTGTGTGTGTGATCACTGTATGTGTCAAATGGCAGACGGCAAACACAGACACAAGGCTCGTAAATCTCTGCATAGACAGAGTAGGAAACGGAAAGCAATGAAAGAGAAGGGAAGAGCAAAGGTTGGTTGGGCCATAAAGGTCTCGACTGATAACGTCACACACACACACACACACACACACACACACACACACACACACACACTCTTTTTATACAGTTTATCACGCACGCACCCTGCGACACAGTCAATAAGGAAGACTTAATGTGGCAGTAAATGAATCCACAAGCTAATTATGATCAACTGAGAGTTCCCTCACTCAATTAGTTCAGTCCTCACCTTAATCAAATCTAAGTGGTCGCTCAGCACACGACCAATTAACTGTAGAGTCTGAGCAGCAACATGACCCCATTACTTCCACATGTAGGCCAGCAAAGGTCATTACACTGAGTCACATTCATTTCATGGAGACGTACTCTAACTTTAACCAGTCAACCCCAGCAACGTGTTTTCGGCTTCACTCACTCTTACTCACTCTCGCACACACACACACAATGACACTGAGGGAACCAAAGTTAACAAGGCAATAAAAGGTAACAAAGTAAATAAATAATGTTTTTCATCAAACATACAACATGGAACTTGGGCCTCTAGGAGTTTCTCAATCTAAACAATGATAAAACTTTTAGTTTGATGATGTTGAGAAGTAATAAAACTGTGTTTCTCCTTCGTCATGCGTCATTTGACCCTGAAGTTACAGCAGAGACTAATGAACCTTGAATGAAATTGAGGAGTTCTCTGGGTTGGAACATTGTTAGAAACACTTTGTATAATGTAAGAACACATGTCAACAAAATATATCCAACAGGTCTAGTTGTTTGTAGACATTCTAACGAAGAACTGTTACATGTTATATATATATATATATATAAAAGTTTTGCAACAGCTCCATCACCAGTACATTATGATGATGAATCATGGCTGTTAAGGGATCGCTCCATCATCCAGTGGAGATGCTAATGAGACATCCGCTGCTGCCGAGGTGCATTCAAAATAAAACACTCTGAATTCTTGGTTCCTACACTGTGAAAACAACAACTTGAAATTGCTCTTGTAATTAAATACAAAGAACATTTATTGGCAACGTAAACACAGAAAAGTATTTGCTTCAAATAACTGAACTCACTAACAAGAAGGTTTCTGGTTCAAGTCAGGCTCCAGCTCCTCCAGTCCACATGCTTCAGTGTCCTTAGGCAAGACACAATCCTAAATTGCCCATGAAAGATGTGAGTGACCGGTGTTTGACAGATATGTTCTGTAAAAGCACTTTGAGTGTTCAAATAAAACAAAAAAATCCTATATGCCTTTAAATTACATTTAAAATTTCTTCTGGCAAACATAAAGGTTAATTGTGATCACAACTAAACAGGTGAGGACCCAAATGCAGACTTTATCTGAGGACAGATTCAAAACACTGTCTAATAAGACTAAACAGGTTCAGTACAGGAAGGCAGAGGTGACAAACACAGAGGAAAAAAGTTTTGTGCAAACAACAAAGCTTGGTATTAAACTTACAGGAGATAACACAAGGCAAATGGCGACATGCTGACACAGAACTGATGAGAGGAACTGGCAACAAGATGGAGGAGACACAACAAGACACAGGTGAAACTACTGACACCAGAGCAGGTCATCAACAGAGCAGGGAAACCTGACACAAACTTCAGAATAAAACAGGAAATAAACAAGTCACAGTTCCAACAAAGGAAGACAAAGAAAAAGGAGGAAAGGAGGCTAAAGTCCATGAAGAAAATTCAAAACATTTAGTAATTAAAAACTCAAAATGTGAACTTTTAAAATATATGAACAATGAATGATCAGTACAAAAGCACAAATCAAACAATAAGTAGCTTTGAAGTTTTGAGTATCCGAACCCTAATCTGATCAAAGTCTTTTCTGACTCTGACTGATCATGATTATCCTTCAGTTTGCTTTACTACTTTGATTATTATTATCAGTGTCCATTTCATTTATTTTTCTTTTAGCGTGTTTGCAGCTATACATTCTTTTTTATTCTTTTTCTCTATTCAGTCATCTACAATTCATAGTTTTAAACTTCTATCTCGCATTTAAATCAAGCTGTTTGGTTACACATACATGCATATTTCTGTTTTCATGCCGCTGAGTGTGGTTGCCAATGTAAGTTTGCTAAGCCAGGAGCAACACTTGAAAACAGATGCTGTCGTCCGTCATCTTGGTGCTGTGCTTGTTGCTGGGAAATCCGACACGTAGACAGCGATGTGGGCAGCTCGAAAGCAATCTGTATTTTTAAAAGGTTTTCAAGTTGAACCAGAACCAGCAATAGAACTCGGTTCACTTGGCCGGAAGAGGGGGGAAAATAAAGCTTGATAGCCGACTAACTCTGTCAACTGTCCCCCATTAGAGACAAACTCAGAAGACTCCACTGTGTGTCCCTCAGTTGGAGACAGATCTTTTTTAGTTTTCTTGTGCATTTGTTGCTTTGGACGTTTAAATGTAAATGTGACAACTTGCATGGGTTCTGTGTGGAGTTTGCATGTTCTCTCTGTGTCTGCGTTGGTTTTCTCCAGGTACAGTTTCCTCCCAAAGTCCAAAGTCCTGCAGGTTGGGTTTATTGGATGAGAGCGTGTACAGGTGTTTGTCTTTATAGGTCAGCACAGTGATGGTCATAAGGTAAAACCAGCAGTTGATTATATTCCTGAAGACGATCTGAATTGAATAACTCCTCTACTTTAGTACACATTTGAGGTACTTGGACTGTACTTGTTTATTTAAATGTTCTGCTACTATATACTCACCACTATTACGTACGATGCTACATTAAAAAAAACATGATGCACTTTAAAAATATGAAAACTGAGTATGAATTTAACTTTTTAAGTTTATAAAATTGATGAAACTGGCTCCAAGTCCTCCAACCAACAATTCATCAGTGATAATTACATATTATTAAAGTTCACAGGGCACACTAACAAAATTATAATTTTGCTTTTTATACCTTTCCTTCATCATAGCCCTCGGTAAACCAGGAGCACAGTCTGCTGTCTGTGGGTTGCCAGGTCTGTCGGTGGTGTTTTTATCCACATGTCTGTTTTGAACTTTTGCCTTTTAACACTGTCCTGTGTTTGTTTAACCCACTGAGGAGCTTTGTGTACTAAACCTGCAGATTATTTGTGCTGTGATGCCCTCTACTGGACAAACAGCAATCCTAAAACAAACTCAGATCTGTTAGTGACGCTGACGCAGAGCTCGCTCCAAAAACGTTGTCAAAGTTAAGAAGGCTCTTAAAATAACCGCCCTAGTTCTTCCACTTTGTACTGACACCAGCGAGGAACTGAAAGAGACTGAGGGAAAATCTGAACTATAAGAAAAATCTCTTCGCAAACAATGAAGTCATTTCCACACAGGCATGTGAATACAGTAGTAAGTTTTATTCAAACGTTATCTTAATGACTAAAGACTGACTGTCACAGTGGTTTGACTAAAAAAATAAAAGTGCTTGCGAACACAAACTTGTTTCTCTCACATTATAATAAATCAAACAGATACAGTGTGTTACTACATGATGTTAAGTCATAACCGTGGCAAGAAAACAAAAATAAATCAAAAGATGCATAGAAGACCTGACGACGCCTCTTTGAAGGCTCCGGCTGTGTCACTGCATGATGAGACCCACTTAACGTGTTCTACGTAGAAATTACAACAAACATAACAGTACATGCCATTTCCAAAACAACAAAGCTGCTCACATAGTTATTAAAAATTACACAAGGATTAGGTAGAAATTAGAAACACATGTTTGGAAAGACGATGACATGACAGTAGCAAGAGGTTTTCTTTAACAGGGTAGTATCATTAGAGTGAGGTGTGCAGTGTATTCAAACAGGTTTAGACTTGCACAAATACTTATAAATGCCACTTTTATTTACCAAACGCCTGATGTCTCATAGTTACAAATGATAATAAATAAGTCAATAAATAAATAGTCGTTCTAAACTTACATCAGAGAGCTTTTGCTGCTCAGTTTTTCTTTAATTTCTTAACATCATCTACCAGGACCTATGACACTTTACTGAACCTTTAGCCTAAAAGTCAGCAGTTCATCCTCCTCAGCCCTGACCCATCGTAAACTTAATTCCTATCAGTTTATTCTGAAGCAGGGGCGGATCCAGGGGTGGGGTCAGGGGGCCAGTGACACCAGCTGAAACCTTATTGGCCCCTGAAATTCCCTTGTCCTGTCAGTAGTCTCTTAAAAATAGTTACTTACTAACAATACTAATGAGAGATAGGCCAATCTACTAAGATTTTTTAGTTTCTAAGCTTTTTCGAAAGTACACAATGAGCCTCGTTCAAGAACCGTTCATACTAACAGATGTGTTCTGAATTTGTTCATACAAGTGATTTGAAGAAGTCATTGATGCACCGGCTAAATTTTGTGATGGTGATGACCTGTGGGACTTAATCTTAACCTCATCACCCACACAACAAGCTTCATATGTGCACTCAATGTGACACAGCGAACGTGGAGTGTTTGTCGCTTCTGAAGCACATTTGTGAGAACTCACCTTACCAACAAATGTAGGAGACATTTGAGATGAGAGCAAGAACATGTTCTTGCATGAGGCCCAATGTGCTTGGATTTTCAAAATGTAGCTAGTGATGCGGATGTTGGATATATAATTGATCCCCTCTGTGTCTATGGCCCCTGATTTAGAAGAACCCTAGATCTGCAACTGCCCTGAGGCAAAAACAATGTCTGAAGCCTACAAATGCAACAGGGACTCTTTTATTTATCACAACAATGGAAAAATCTGGCCATCTCAACTTGTCTTTTTTACATATGTCATTTTAAAGAATCCTTATTCTTGAGAAATATGCAAATGAACATATTTCTCACATCGTCAAACTGTTTCTTTAACTCTGTTGCATTAAACTAACAATCAAATAAGATGACAACTGCATCTTGGTCTTCCTCCTCACACGTACTTTACAACATTTCAAATCTAGCTGCATCAAGTACATTTATCGACAATCACTCCATCCTCTGCCCGGTTCACTTCCCCTCTCCGATTTCCTTCTCCCCAACCTCCAAACCCTCCGGCCTGGTTTTCCTGTGGCAGGCTCACAAATCTTCCTCCTGCAGTCTCACCCACTGAAAAGTATGACCATCATAGGAGCTGGCTACAATAACACTGGATTTCTACACAAAAACACAGTAGTGCTACAATGTTAAGAAGGAAAATAATTCCTTATATGTGGAGCTCACAGCTCTTGAGGCCGAAACACATTAAGAGTAGAGCTGGGACAGAACTGAGAGCGTGTCAAACTCATTTACGACTGCATATACACTCATTTGTAATTTGACTCTGTAAAGGCAGTGAGATGAAGGCAGATCTGACGAGCTGTTCATTTCATAGTAAGCCAAGTCAGATAATACACAAGAGATAAGGCCATTACAAAAGTATTCTCATTTAATCCTTGTTCTAATAGTGAAAACTGTCAAAGACTGTCTCCATCTGTTGTAAACACACACACACAGATGTTCGATGCCTGACTCTTGGCAACGCAATTGAAATAATTTGTGAGAACAATGGGAAAGTGGGAGTAAAATCCAACATCCACTGAGCTGGTCCCTCAGTCGTGTGCTCGTGGACGGTCAATATGGCGGACTTTTGCTCTTAATGCCTTTTGGTCTCTAACACATCTCATTTTCAACTTGTCAAAGACACCACTGAAGTTTTATTATATTCCCGAGGTCAAGGTAAAGATGCTGCGACTTAGCAAACCCAACTTTTAACCCCTCAACCTAAACGGTGAAACCCTGACCCTCAAAAAAAACATTCAAACAGGTACATTCAAAGCTTAATTTCTGACCCTAACCTTAATATTCTAACATTCTACCTCTAATCCCTTGTTCTCACACCTGGTACCAAACCTCAGAACCAGAAAACATACATTTAGTCCATCCCCTCCCCTTCCAGCTCCAGCTGCATTCCAAGAACTTTCTCTTCCCCATCGGTGCAGGCCTAAAGCCCTGGTCTATGAGCTGATGATCTGACCTGACCAGGTCTCGTGCTTGGTGCCTGGATTCAGGTGGGTGATCACCACGTCCACAGCCTGGATCTTCTGGTTCTTCGGAGGGATGGGACACACCTTGTATGTGACCTCATCGCCTTCCATAGGCACGTACTCTCCTTCAATGCTGTCAGAGAAAAAGAGACCATATTACAAAGTCGTGTTTTTCATTCATGTGGAATGACCATACTTTCGTGTGTGTTTCAATTAAAAAAACGCAAGGATCGTTTCCCCCCAAGTTATAAGAACTGATTTAATGACCATAATATGACGAACTTAATTTCTCTGTTGCTAACTTCAACGCAGCTCAAGGCATCTAACAGCTCCCAAAAATGCACTCCTGGAGTTTAGCACTACTTATTGATGCGTACACGTAGTCAAAAGCAAGTATATCTCCGAGGCTCTAACTATTCTCACACCCCTGGAAGTGACAACAGAAATGTCATATTGCATCAGATACGCTGTCCTATCAGCTGTCATCTACCACCATTTGGCTCGAGGACTTGCCCAGTGAGGTCACTCACTCAGAGATGTGGACAAAGATGTCCTCTGCTCCGTGAGAAGGACGAATGAATCCATGACCCTGAGACCTGGAGAAGTTTTTACACACCCCTTTAAATACTGGACCTGATTTGGCTCGCACTGTCCTGCAGAGAAAGACAGACATAGACAGCCGGAGAGAGAGAGACAGAAAGGTGGAAAGAAAGACAGACATACAGTGCATCGTAAGTCATTGCCACAGAGGGTACCACCAAGGAGAAAAGTGTCAGCCCCTTGGCCTGTGTGCTCCTACTCACGCTGAGTATGTGCGGGTGCGTTTGGTGGGCAGTGGGCTTGGCAGCTCTCTAGGCTGTGGCGGTTTCCTTTCCCTCTCCCATACCCGGCTGCCCTCCCTCAGGAAAGGGAAGGAGAGCTGCAGGGGGGTGCGCGGTGAGGCAAGTGGCAGTGGGGGGTCCACTGTCGTGGATGGGTCAGGGTCTGACATCTTGACTCGCTACACGTAGTGTCTCTTTTTTTATTTCCTGTTTTGGGTTTCCTCCGATGGCAGGGTTAGGGAGGAGGGTTACACCTCCTGCATGGTAGGTGTAAGGGAGGGGAGATGATGTTCAAAGAGGAAGCCTGACAGTGAAGGAGAGGAGCGATGATACCCTGAAATAAAGGACCATGAGAGGGGGGGTTGGCAGAGGAGAAAATAATGGTTTTGTCAAATATCAGAGGTTGATAAAGAAACAATCAGATTTGTGAGTGTTATTTTACTTTTTGGTACTAATCACTTTTCCCACAATCTCAGGGTTCCATCTCTCTGGCTTCTCCAGTTGAGAATAACAAAGCTATTTGGTTTCTGAGTGCCAAGACTCTGATCTCTGCAGCTTTGTAAAGGTCCCAAGATAATGTAAATAACAATCTCGCCCCAGAGGGCCTCGACTCGGCTCATCACACTTTATGGTATTAGAATCCCCACTCACCCACGCCTGACATCCATTACAGGATTGCTCTCCTTGTCTGTACTCGTACAACAAGCTGCTCTCTGAACCATTTCAGACAATCATTTTAGGAAGTATGAGCTCTGTCTCCACACTGTGACACAACCCAATTACAGTCTTGTAACCGGGACGCATCACATTCATCATGTTCCTCACTATGACACTTACTACAGGTATGAAGGGCTATAAGTCGTTGTTCTACAGAGGTCAAACACTGACACCTGGTTTGTCGGTGACACACAACAGGGGTGGATGTGTATTTAGGGGCAGTTATCAGCAGCCACTTCACATTCAACAGTTAGTATTGACATCTGCAGGCCTAATGTTTGACAATGACTGATGAGATGAGTGTGTGTCACAGTGAATCCCACAGGCTCCTTTCAATAACACACTCTCTGCCTCGCTCTCTGTGTCAGTCTAAATATAGCAGCATGTGTGTGTGTGTGTGTGAGAACTGGACCACAGGATCTAAGGCTGGAGGCTCTCACATACAGTACTGGCATTTATTTACAAGTCACACCGTGGTACAATGGTTACTACAACAAAAAGATGGTTCTTGGTTTGAATCCCAGTTTGGCCAGGGGTCTGTCTGTGTGGAGTTTGTATGTTATCCCTATGCCTGCATGGGTTTTCTCCTGGTACTCCAGCTTCCTCCCACCGACCAGAGACATTCAATTAGGGGTTTGATGAGAGACTTTAAAGGTGTGAATGTGAGCATGAATGGTCGCTTGTGCCTTTATGTCTGCACTGTGATATGCTGTCCATAGTCCTGTCTGTTGCCCAATGTCAGCTGGGATTGGGTGACCCTAACCATAAAGATACAGAACTGACGGAGCCTTCTGTCTGTACTTTGCATTAATTGCCTTCACATTATGTAAAAATCTTCTCCATCACATAGATTAAAAAGAGGGTTTAGATTTTACTTTTACTTAGCGAGGTTTAGGTTGACCACACGTCTGTTCAAGTGGTAGCAGGGTTTAAAGGTCACAGCATCATCACAGAGGCAGCTTTAATCCCTCTTTGGGGAACAGATATCAAATATATGATAAGTGAGGCTTTTATCCTCCTGGTTTCATGTTAGATAGTGTCCATGCAATGATGATCAACACACACGTGTCATCGGGGAGGCAGCAGGGGAGCGCACTGACGCGACTGACGGATGACAAGGCATAAATATGTAGCCTAAATAATTCAGCAACTTCACTGGTGGAGCTCCTCTTTCATCAGCCCACAGAGCCAGGCCTGCAAATCACAGGCTTATTTATGAGTCTGCAGTGCATCAGGAGGGTGTGAAGCTGCAAAAGAAAAAACAGAAAAGAAACAAAAGCCTGATCTGAGAGTGGACTGGAGGAAGGAAGCGCGAGCGAGAGAAAAGACGGACAAAAGGCCAAAAGCACCTCCCTAAGAAAGAAACCGCAGCTCTGTGGCTGTCTGTGTTCCACTGCATCAGCATGGCAGACACGTCAACTCCTCTCTAACACTCACACACACACACACACACACA